ATGCTGGGTCTGGACGCGGCGGGGAAAACCACCATCCTGTACAAACTGAAGCTGGGCCAGTCCGTCACCACCATCCCCACCGTGGGCTTCAACGTGGAGACGGTTACGTACAAAAACGTCAAGTTCAACGTGTGGGATGTCGGGGGCCAGGACAAGATCCGTCCCCTCTGGAGGCACTACTACACGGGCACGCAAGGGTTGATCTTTGTGGTGGACTGCGCCGATCGCGACCGCATCGACGAGGCCCGCCAGGAGCTCCACCGCATTATTAACGACAGGGAGATGCGGGATGCCATCATCCTCATCTTCGCCAACAAGCAGGACCTGCCCGATGCCATGAAACCCCACGAAATCCAGGAGAAACTGGGCCTGACCCGGATCAGGGATAGGAATTGGTACGTGCAGCCCTCCTGTGCTACTACAGGGGATGGACTCTATGAAGGGCTGACATGGTTAACGTCCAATTATAAATCCTAATGAGAGAATAACTATTTAGTCTACAAAGAATTAAGAAAAAAAAAAAAAATTAAAAATAACCCACATGGCTTTCCGGAAGAATGATTCTCTACTGAAAAGTGAAACAAAAGCATCCATAGGATTATGATGATCACCTTTCTCCAGTTACCACCCTTTCCTTCGGCACACTTGACTGGATTCCTGTTTTAACTCTCCTTGCTTGGCGTTAGGATGCTCTAATCTCCGAATGTGACATGAACACAGGCACTAGATGCTATGGCAGACTTCCAGCAAACGGGGGAAAGACACATTGTAGACTTGCTAAGTAACTTTTTTTTTTTTCTTGATAGCCCTTAAGATGGTTTGATTATTTTGGGGGATGGTTGGGGGAGGGGTACCGTTTTCAGTGTATGCTTTCTGGTTCTACTTTTTTTGATTATCTTTTTTTTTTTTTCCTTCTATCACTTTGCTGTAGATTGCTACTTTTTTGCATTCATGCAGAATATGTTGATAGGTCTACTTCATCTAGTAAACTGAAAATTATTGCTTAAAATCAAACTGCAGTCTGTCTTTTTATATTAAGGCCTTTTTTTTTTTTTTCAAGTTCTGTTAATCTGTAATTAAACGGCGACTCTCAGTCTGTCTTCATATCTCAGACTAATAACGAAGCAAATTCTTGCCGGCAGTGGCAGGTAGTGAGAGCGCCGCTGTAACGTGTTCAAAGCGCGTAGCAGGCGTGATGTAACGCAAGAACTGCTTTGAAATGTCAGCTGGGAAGTTCTGAACCATCCGTTGTGCACGAGGGGGGATGCAAACGAGCTCCCCGTACCACAGAGCACCCATATAGCAAGTATGTCATGGATGATGTCATAGTTCCAGGGTAGATACCGTTCAGTTTTCCGCTTGCACGGTGAACTGAAGGGATGTTTAGCTGCAGTTTTTACTCCTCGTGTCAGTCTGGGATTCAGTGCCAGATAGTTCCTTCCCGAAAATGCAGCAATAACAAAGCGTTGCAACAAGTTTTACTCCAGATTGCAGGCGTTCAGGCAGAAATCTAGCACTGACTCGCCCGTCTGGTGAGCGAGGCAAATCACTTTCATCTCAAAACAGCTGAAGACATCAGAATCTCGGAAGGATTTCTGATTCCTTCTGACGTGCATGTAGTGGAGAAAGAAATTGTGTTCTTTTTCCCTTCAGTTTTCTAGACTTCTGAAGGGGCGAGTTCTGTGCTGAGCTTTCACTGAGCTCGGTGATTCTGACGTCTAATAGTCATTTTGAGGAAATCACTCATGGGTTTAGTTTTCCAAGGCTGAACTCATGGAGTAGTTGCGGTCTTCGTAGCCGGTTGTTGCTGTAGTCCTGTCGGAAGGGAACTATGTTGGGTGTCTGAAGCCCAGGGAGTAACTACTAATGAGAGCGGGGAGGGGAGAGAGAGAGGGAGAATACGACTATGAATGTAAACTTCCATAATTAGTTCTTAAAGGGCAAGCAGCTCATTTGCCATGTCACAGTTTGCAGCTGGGACTGGCAAAACAGGAAAAAAAAAACCCACCCGGAATGAGTATTAGTGTAAAAACTTAGTTGAGTATTAATGCTGGGTGCAAAAAAAAAAGTTCAAGCAGCTGGTTCTCATTCAGCCTTAAGGATTACCTTCAGCTTTCCTCAAGGGGTTAAAACTCAATTGGGGAATTCTAGGAATGTATGCTACAAAACCAGAAGAAAATTATGGGTTTTTTTCCTTTTTTTTTTAATTCAACAATACGAGTTTTACATGAAATTGGGGGCATTACACTACATTTCTGCAGTGTTGACTCTGCATGCTGAGTACGTTGTGTATGGAGCTCTTACCAAAGATGTGCGGGAAGATAAAAACACGGAATTCACTTCTGAAATGGAATGCTTTGGGCCACTTAAAGGTTCCTTTAGAATATGGTTCCAAAAAGACTTATCTGGATGTGGGTTGCAAATGGGACTGAGTGGCTTCTTGATGCCAGAAGATAGAGCACTGATTGACTTTGTAAGTTAAAAGAGGGTCTGCAAAAGCTTAACGTAAAAAAACTCTTAAATCTCAGCTCTGAAGAAGAGGAAGTGAGATTTTTATTTCTTTTTTTTGCTCAAGGCTTTTTGCCGTTGGAATATCATTGCTCTATTTTCTAGCTTTTTTTTTTTTCCTGTTGATGTAACTTAACAAATGGTGTGGTGGTATAAAGGCTAAAAATACAAGAATATGGTTACTGTTTTCTTCTGGAGCGTAAATAAAACAGCCAAGCACAAAGTAAATGCCTAAACTGGAAAACTTGAAGCTCTATTAATGGTTCTTGAACTTTCTTAAATCTATTCTCAGTCAACGTGAAAACTTGGATAACTTCATTTTTCGTCTGAGTTGATTTACTGTTTTCTCTCCGAACGCTGGGGCAGGTTTCTTTGCTAGACTTTGAGTTGAATTCCCAGTTTTGTATTTCCTCAGTAACTTTGTTATTCTGTTTTTGTAGGCGAAAGGAAACTGGTTATGCTTCTGAATTTTTTTAATGTCTTTTTTTTTTGGGGGGGGGGGGGGAGGAGAAAAAGTTGCTGAAACGTGTGGCAGAGACTTTGAAAATAAACGGCCGTTGCGACTGAGCAAAACCCGAAGGTTTCACTTTCAACATGTCCTTTACGGGTCGTGGCTGAACCTCACCACTAACTAACTGGTGGCTGTCAAACGTGGCCTGTAGGACGGCGTGGCCATCTGTGAGAAACCCTGCGATTTAAAAACTGATCCGCGGTTGAAGCGCATCGATTCGTCTTCGTGTGGATTCATGGAGTAAGTTCTGGGTGGCGTTAATGGTGTCTGATCAGTGAACGAGTCTGTGATCTCCCTGACTGAAGTAAACGGGAATTTTGTGTTCTCAATGTGGCTGTAGTGTTGGTGAAGAACTCTTAAGCGGAAAATAAAGCAATTACACAGCGGAGTTACTGGTATGTTACTTGTATTTCATTCCGAGAGACGCAGAGAGGGGCCGTGTGGAGCTGGAGTGGAGCGTTCCGCCGGCAGAGAGGTCTCTGTTCCGTGTGTCACAGCTTGGAAGCCCGGCTGGAATTCCCGTGAGACTTATTAGCCACTATTTTCACAAGTGGAAGGGACGACACTTCTTGTCACTTGCAGTTAACAAACTTTAGTGTCACGTTTATACTGCCTCAGCGCCATTTGGGAAGGTGACCAGCTCCGTGGGAGGGCACGGAAGGGCTGTTGCCGAGCAGGATGGTACCGTGTTTCACGGACAAAATCACTCGGTCGGAAAGGGAAGATGTTAGGTCGGTGTAGGAAACGCGGCGGCGGACAAAAGGGGGGGATGAGTGAATGGGGGTGCTTGCGGAGCGACAGACGTGGAATTGGGATGTCCTCGGTGCCCGGACAGGGCACGAGCTGAGGAAAGGACTCGGGCAGGTGCTGCAGGGAGGGCGCTGGGGCGGCTGGGAGCGGAGCAGCGGGCTGGGGCAGCTGCTGTCCTGCGGGCCCGGGGAAAGGCAGCGGTGCTCCAGGAGCCACCCACAGATCCCAGCCCGGAGCCGGGCGTCGGGCAGGGCCTTGGCTGGCAGAGGGGACACAAGCTCTTGAGGGAACTCCCATGGCCACGGGTGCAAAGCCGAGCATCAGCCGCTCCGACTGTCCCCGCGTCGCGAAGCTTTCGGGAATTGCCGCTCCGACCATCCCTGTGTTGCAAAGCTTTCGGGAATGGCCACTCTGACCGTCCCCGTGTCGTGAAGCTTTCGGGAATGGCCGCTCCAACTGTCCCTGCGTCACGAAGCATTCGGGAATCGCTATTCTGACTGTCTCCGCGTCGCGAAGCTTTTGGGAATGGCCGTTCTGACCGTCCCCGTGTCGTGAAGCTTTTGGGAATGGCCGCTCCGACTGTCCCCGCATTGCGAAGCTTTCGGGAATCGCCAGGAGATGTTACTCAGCCAGGTGGGAGTTCCTGGGTGCGGGGTGGGCTCACCGCCGCCGCAATCCTCCGCAAAGCCTTTTCATCCCGGGGTGTTCGGGCTGGCCTCCGTCTACCTGAATGTCAGTTAAGGGTGTGGCTGTGTAAATGAACTTACTCTGATTTAATTAAACTACTCGGGAGTTTGGAAACAAGGCTCCAGAAGAGTAAACTCGTGTCTCTTCCGTTGTAGTAGTGAGTCATTTTTCAAAATGTCAGCACTTATCGTTTGAAATCAGACCTCTGTTAACGGCAGCGGTTAGCGTGACTCCCCGGAGCACCCTTCCCGAATCGTGCCGTGACTCACCCTTCAGCTGGGCTTTTTTTTTCCCCCCAGTCACAGGGCCGCGGTCCTCATGGACAGGGTTTGGAAAAAATGCGCCTGCCATCCTTAATTGGAAAGTAACCCCGCTGATAGGATAGTCCTCCCAGAGGAATGTCTCTGGGTTTAAGAAAACCAAAAATGAGTTGCATCGTCGTCTGCAAGATGGGTGGTAGCCGGTCACTTCGCTGATGGACCTGAGCGTTGTTTGCCTTGTCGCCGGGAATGGGAGAGCAGAGAACTTGCTCCGGAGCGTGGAAGCAGCCTTGGTGTGGGCATCGTGACTCAGGCTTCCCACTAGCGCACGGCTGTGGTTTTCATCTTGGATTTCTTGCTAATATCTGTCCAGCCTGAAGGGCTCAGTATGTGGAATCTGAAATCGGCTTTGGTGCTTTCTGGAAAAAAAAAAAAAGCTTTCCACTCGCCTTGGGGGGGGAAACGTCAACTTTCAAGGGCTGCTGGTGAGTTAGTGGCATCTCCGCTTAATAACTCTGTTCCTCTTCTGAGGAAAACTCAGAACTTCTGAGGAAAACGTCCTAAAACGCGACTCTGGCACTGGTGCTGCTCAAACCTGTGAGTGTCAGAACGAGGTGCGAGCAGACGCTTTCAGGACGGATGACTGGAGCACCACGAGCCATCCCGCTCCCAAACTCCGGAGCGCCCCGAAGAGCGAGGTAATTTTAGCCCCGCCGTTGCTTCCGGAGGGGTGAAACGGGTGAGCCAGAGCCCCGCGGCGCTCGGCAGCGCTGGGAACTCGCGCAAAAGGCGGATTTTTATGGACGGTAAACCGGGTGTGCGGTGTATCATCCAGGAAGTCGCTCTTCTCTTGCTTAAGAACAGGTATCTCTGCCTGCCTTAAAAGAGAGAGGAGGAAAAAAGAAAAAAAAAAACAAACCAGTAAAGTTGTGAGTCATCTGGTGAGTTCTCTAGCCTGAGAGTCTGACAGTGGTTTAACAGGCTCAGGCACTTGCTTTGCCTCAAGAGAAATGTTTTGCCTTCCAGAGGATGTGCTTCTCTCCTCTGTTACTGGTTCCTTCAGTCGTATCTTTTAGGGCAGCGTTGGT